TTGTGTTTTTATATGCTTTAAAATAACAACTATTTATTAAATAAAAATAATTAAAGCCACCCTGTCATGGCTTCACACTGCCAAACATCACTCTGTTCAAGAGGAATGGTCCCCTGAAGTCTGCTAAGAAACCAACTCTTCCATGCATGTTGATCTCCTATGTCCCTTGCAGTGCTCACAGATGTGAACCAATAGAGACATTTGGTGGCTTCATGATTTGTGTATTTTGCAGCCCAACTCCAGCTCAAAATACGTTGTATTTTGCTTTGAGTAAGTTGGGGCAGGGTTAGAGCCTCCATCAGCTTTTTTTTATTACCCTCCTTGTCCATATTTATACAAAGTGATAGAAATATTTCCATTGGCGATGCAGTGAGTGAGGAAGGGTAGGGACTTAAGTGTTTTTATTGCTGTCAATGCCTTGCTGTCCCAAAGACAACTGAACCCCTTATTTCTTGTATGGGGTCACGGAGACCCAAAACTAACAAGAAATGCTACTGAGCAAAAAAAAAAAAAACCTTCACCTGCTTTTATGGCATGAGAGGCTGAAAGACTGCAAAATTTCCCTCACCAGCAAGGGAGCAACACTTTCTTGGTTCATCCATCCAGCAATGCCTTAGAAACAAGTGAGTGGCTTCTTTGCCCTCTATAGCAATAATGTCACTGTTGAAATTAGGGAAGCACCGATATATCGGCCGCCGCTAAATGCCGAAAGTGCCATTTTCCTGCCGATACATCGGCGCATCCCTGCTTTCTTTCCTCCCTGCTGGGCGCTGCTTTGTGTCCCAGCGGGGAGGAGAGAAAGTGTGGCAGCCAGCCGAGCGCTGCGGGAGGAGAGCGTTGTGAGCGGCCGGCATCTCTCCTCTCACACCGCTCAGCCTCCTATCACAGTCCGGCAGAGCGGTCACAGGAGGCTGAGCTCTCCCCTCTGCTTTTATAAAATATTAAAAATGAAAAACATTTTCAGTTTCAGTTTCGGCCTGACAATTTTTTTATTTCGGTTTCATTTCGGTTTTGAAATTTCCATTTCATAGCACCTCTAGTTGAAATGCTGTCAGCTGCATGGTCACTAGAAAATCATAGGCCTTAGAAGTCATTAGTTCTAAGTTGACTTCTTTTCCTATTAATCAATCTAGTGTGCATGCCATGTTCCCCGTGCTTGCCTGGGTTTCCTCCAGTACTCCAATTTCCTTCCACACTCCAAAGACATGCTTAATTGGCTTCTGTCAGAATTGGCCCTGTATGCATGTGAGATGGGGACCTTAGATTATAAGCTCCTTGAGGACAGGGGCTGATGTGAATGTGCAACTATGTAGAGCTCTGTGTAAATTTACGGCAATATATACATGCCAAATAATAAATAAATAAGTATACTTATTTCCAATAAGTCCAAATTAGAGAGTCTTATCCTTGTGTTCACTTCCTGACCTTTGTAGACATTCTTGAATAGATCTTTAGCAGGGTTACAACCAACTAGAATTCACCCAGCCAGTAGTTGAGATGAGGTCTGTGACAATGGTATATTCTATATATAATAAGTCAATGATATTTCAAGGTCAAAATGTTTTATAATGTCAAACCGATGTATTATTGTGGCTCTGCGTGTATTGGTTTGACAAAACTGATGCCTGTCCTCTATGAATTCTGGCAGTATCAAGTCAGTGCTCATAACAAATATTTTTACTTTTTTATTTATTGGGGGGACTTTGTGTAGCAAAAGAAATATGTTTAAACACTGACAAAGAGTCCCAAGTAATCTCTGTCAAAGCTGAGGCTTCGAGGGATGTGAAGACCATATGTCACTCTGAGCTAATAGGAAATGAAAACAAAAGTACTTTGTTACTACTCAGAAACAATAGCAAATAGGATGTTAGATTGGGGCTTACAATGAACAAAAGGCTTTTAGAAGAATTATAGGCGTATCTGTTGTAGCTCGTTGGCGGGGCTTCCTTAGTGGTGCCTTTGGCTCCCAGGATACAGTCATATTCATAAGGTTCATGCACATTTGAATGCATTCAAACCTATTCTTTATTCCACTTGTTATTAACATATGAAATGTTACCACTAACTAGTTTTTTTTTTTTCCTTCCAACAAATGTTAATTGAAGTAAAGATCAGGGTTAAGCTGTTATCCTGGTAGTTGAATGAAAGCAGCTTGAGGTTGCAGCATGTACTTTTTCATTTCTCTTGTGTCTCTTGAGGGGCAAATCAAGAATATATTTAACTAGCAGTTTAAAAGCTTGAACTTTAAATTGGGTGTGCTTTAAACCTCAAGAACTAAATATCACAGTGCAACAATTTTCTCTATATTGGATGTGTTTTTATATCGTATCCACAGTCATATCATAAAGCAGTGTTTCTCAACATTTTTTTAATTCAAGGCCTCATGCCAGAGAGGGATCTGGTATGGATTTTAAGGGGTATCCCACTGGTGTTCCCTCCTTCAAATCAGGACCCCCCTCACATTAGAGGTGCACCCTCTTCCACATCAGAATCCCTCATTTCACATCAGAGTTCCCCTTTACTTCAGGAGCCACCCTTTATATGAGAAGCCCCTTCACATCAGGAGCCCCCATCTTTCACATCAGTGTCCACCCTCTCACTCGAAGAGCCCCTCTTCACATCAGAAGCCCACCTTCACATCAGAGCCTCCTCCTTTTACATCAGAGTCTCATCCTTTCACATAAAAGCCCCCCTCTTTCACATCAGAGTCCTCTCTTCACTTTACAAGCCGCCCCTTCGCATTAGATTCCCCCCTTCATGCCAGTAGCCCCCTTCACATCAGGAGCTCTCTTCACATCAGTAGCCCTCTTCAGATCAGAAAATCCCCTATCACATCAGGGTCCCCCCTTTACATAAGAGCCCCCCTTTCATATCAGACCCATCACC